TTTTTGCCTTTTTCTAACTTGGATCTTTTGGTTCCTTCTCTTTTGGGTTTACTTTTCATTTTGATAAAATAAATCTACTAAAGTTTTTGAGAATTTTCATGTTGAAAATGTTTTTGTTCTGTTGTTACACTTGATTAACACTGGGTATAGAATTCTATATTGAAATTGACATTCCTTTAGAATTTTGAAAGCATTGTTCCACTATTTTCTAGTTTCTATAGTTGTTACTGGTAAGTACAAAGCCATTTTGGTTCCTGATAAGGTGTATAATGATCTATTATTTCCTCTGGAAGTTTGTAGCATATTTTGTTTCTAGTGTTCTGAAATTTCAAAATGATGTGGACACTTAGTGGGCCCTGTCATTCTGTTAACTCATATCTTGTAGTTCTGGGTCATTTCTTATATTATTTCTTAAACCATTTCCTCCTCTGTTTTATCAACAGAGGAATTTTTGGAATTCCTATTTGGATGTTGCAGATAAATATTTCCAAGGCTCATAAGCTTGTTTTTTTTTTCTTCCCCCCTCCCCCCCCCCCCCCCCCTTTTTTTTGGGGGGGGTCAGACCTTGATGTTATATATATGACTGTGCTCTAACCAACTGAGCTAACTGGCCAGCCCCTTCATTTTTTTCCCCCATGTTCCATCTCTTTGTCTTTTTGCCCTATATTCTGGGAAATTTCAAACATCTTCCACTCTTATATTGAGTTTTTCCTTTTTGTTATATTTTAAATTTCCTAGAGTTCTTTTTTTGTTTGTTTTTTGAAATGACAGTTTAAAAGTACTTGTCTGTCCCTGAAGAATTTGTTTCTTCTAAGTTGCTTTTTTTCTATTGCTTGATTTGATCTCTACCTTTCATAATAGAGGCTTTCTTTAGATCTCTGGCAAACCTTTGTTATTGCTTCCTAGTTAGGAGTGCAAGCTTAAAAAGTTGTTTGGAAGCTCAAAGCACAAGAATGGAATTTATCCTCCATAAGCTTCACTACAGGGTTAGATAGAAATCTCTGATGTCAATAAATTTAGGTTTTTCTTCATGGGCCTGGTCAGATTTCCTAGAGAAGGCTCTTCCAAACTCCTGACTGAGAGTTCTCGTAAAGATGGTCCCCAGCATCACTCTCTCCCATAAATTAACCAATTTACAACTATAAAAATATAACATCAGCCAAGCTGGAATGGCTGGAGCTCAGGGGAAGAGGAGGAGAGAACTACGGAGTTCAAGAAGGCAGGAAAAACCATGATGAGAGAAAGAAAAAACTGCTCTGAGCGTTTCAGGCCGCAGCTGCTTTAAGGCTAGAGCTACTGAGCTCATGGAACAGGAGCCAGCAGAAGCTGCAGCTGTGCCCTTCAGATGGAGTTACTTGGAGGCAGCAGGGGAGAAGAGGGCCTTGCCGGCCCCCAGGACAGCAAGAATACTAACAGGGTTCCCGTGGACCCACGCAGGAGTGAAGAGCCAGAACAGCTGAAAAAGGGGAACCACTCAGAGGCCGGTGAGTCATCGCAAGGGACTGGCGCAAGGCCCGTCCCATGGGAAGTGTTTGGAGCACAGGCATGGGGGAGACAGGCCCACCAGGAGAACACTGGGACACAGCAAGGACAGCCGATCTGCCCCCCAATTAGCACAGGACCACTCAGAGGAAACTTGTTGGGAATGGAGAATTGCATGGGGTGCAGTTTGATGAAAAAACTCAGGCCCAGATCAGAGTTTCTACACAACCAAGGTGCACCCAGTCGCTGGAGAGCTGGAAGTACTTATAAGGTCAACCATTAAACCCTGAGCTGCACAAAAAGCCTTCCCTAGGGAAACAGCAGCAAAGCAGCAATTTAGCTCAACCACACAGCTCAAGTACTGGTTCCCACAGGAAGTTCCTACGTTTTAGAAGTAAGCAAAGGACAAAAAATTAGTTCTGGCCCAGGCACACCACCAGTGCCTTGGGGCCTGCCAAGGGACATGAAGCTTGGAGCCAGGGACCCGACCCCCGTCCACAAACACTCACACCACCAGCACCTCGGGGTCTGCTCAGGAAAACGAGGCTTGGAGGTGGGGACTGGACCCCACTCCCACATCCAGGCACACTGCCAGGGCCTCAGGGCCTGTCCAGGGGCCTGGGACATACAGCTGGGGACCAGACCCTCCACCCACAACCAGGCACACAGCCAGTGCCTCAGGGCCCGCCTGGGGACCTGAGACATAGAGAAGGGGTCCAGATCCCCCTCCAACACCCAAGCACACTGCATCAGTGCCTCAGGGCCCACCCAGGGACCCGAGTCATGGAGTAGGGGACTGCCCCCCCCCAACAAGACACACCACACCAGCACCTCAGGGCCTGCTTGGTGACCCGAGGCACAGAGCCTGGGACTGGACCCCCCCTCCCACAACCAGGCACACTGTGCCAGTACCTTGGGGCCCACCTGGGGACCTGAGGCATGGAGCAGGGGACTGGACCTGATCCCCCTCCCACAATCAGGCACACCATGCCAGAGCCTCGGGCCCACCCGAAGATCTGAGGCATGGAGCAGGGGACTGGATCCCCCTGCCACAACCAGGCACACCACATCAGCACCTCATTACCCGCCCAGGGACCTGAGGCCATGGAGCCGGGGATTGGACCCCCCCTCCCACAACCAGGCATACCATGCCTGTGCCTCAGGGCCTGCCCAGGGATCTGAGGTATGGATCTGGGGACTGGACCCCCCTTCCACAACTAGACACACCATGCCAGTACCTTGCAGCCCACCCAGGGACCCAAGGCATGGAGCCAGAGACTGGACACTCCCTACCACCAGGTACTGCCAGCACAAAGGAGTATGCCAAAAACATCACCTCTGTGTGGGTGGCCCACCACAGCCACCACTATAACCATGTCTGTCACGAAAGCTGCTAGATGCCACAACCACCACACAGATGGTCCACCAGCCACTGGAATGCATTGATACAAGGAGAGTCACAAGCAGAGATAAAGAAAAGAAGAGGATGTCTCTTTCCACAAAACCCATTTCAGAGTGACAGAAGAAGCATCTGCTCTATGATATATTGGGGGACCTGATCACATCTCTCATCATTGGACAGATCATCTAGGCAACAAATCAACAGAGTAACCATTATTCTTCCGGAAGGAGAAAAGAAATCTAGGATAATTAGAGCAGGGGGGGGAAGGGAGAGGGGGATGGGGAGAGATTGGACAAGGGGTGTAAAGAATAATTACTATTTGTAACAATACATATGCTAGTAATATTGACTTGATCAACATATGTCAATGTTGAACCCTAAAAATTGGTATAATCAATTTTGATCCAATAAAAATTTTTTAAAAACCCAACCAACCAACCAACCAACCAACTGACCAACAAAAAAACTCCTGACTGAAAGCTTTATGCCAACTTGGGAAAGTGGGCTGGGGAAGGATAGAGTTCAGTTGCCAATATCCCTATATTCACCAACTTTCCTGGTTTTTATTTTGGTACTTCCTCCCTCAATCCTATCCGTTGTCTTCCATTAGTCACTCTTCCTATAGAGTAAAGGCAGCTCCTCTCCCTAAAGTGTTTCCCTTATCCCTTCTCTTGCAGCTTTTGAGAAGTAATTCAGCTTTCACTGGCATTGCAGTCTTCCCCTATCCTCCCCTGTCAATTCCTGGACAGAGAAATCAACAGATGTCAAAGCTATTATCAACCTCAGGTTGATCCAGGCCAGTGGTTCTCAAAATTTATTTTATGAATCTGCTTCACACTCTACAGGAGGTACCCTTTTTTGCCCTCTCATCACTGGATTTGGAGCAACTGTGCTTTTATTGGTTTTTTTTTTTTTTTTTTTTTTTTTTTTTTT